AATATAATCACAAAGTCTTCATAAGAGGGAGGCAGGAGATCACAGTGTGAAGTAGATGTGACAACAGAAGCAAGAAGTTAGAATGATGGAAGAAGGGGCAACAAGCTAAGGAATGCTGGCAACCTCTAGTACCTGAAAAGGGCAAGCAAACAGATTCTCCTCTGAAGCCCCCAGAAGGAATGAATCCAGGCCAAACCTTGATATTAGACTTCTGACCCCCAGGGAATAAATTTGCATTATTTTAAGTCACCAAATTTGTGGCATTTGTTACAGTAGCAATAGGAAACAAACATACAACCTTACATATTTTATAAATGCATGTGTTAAGTCGCTTCAGTCCTGTCCAACTCTTTGCGACCCTATGGACTGTAGCCCGCCAGGCTCATCTGTCCATAGGGATTCTCTAGACAAGCGTACTGGAGTGGCTTGCCATGCCCTCCTCCAGGAGATCTTCCCAATCCAGAGATCGACTGCATCTCTTATGTCTCCTGCACTGGCAGGAGGGATCTTTACCACTAGTGCCTCCTGGGAAGCCTCATTTTATACACATGCATAATTAAAAACATATCAGTCACATTATAGTGGTGTCTATAGGGGAAAACAGGGAGTAAAGGGGGAGGTGATAGAATAAAACAAGAGAAGTGGCTTGCAACTCCCCATATTCAAGGTCCAGCAAAGACAAATAGAAGCAGGTCACAGACTGCTCTATAGAAAATAGGTTAAACGCTATTATAAGTGTGGCAGATACTCTGATTATCAGCCCTTTTAAAGGCTTTTATGGTATAAAATCAGTCTCCCTGTATGTTGATGCTGTGAAAGCAGTGCCCTGAGGAGCAAACATAAATATTTTGGTACCAGAAGGTATGTTGCTCATGGTGAATCACTGAATTTCTCTTACTAATTTGATTAGTGTGATCCGAAGACCAACTCTGGGTAGCCTGACAAACTCAAGTTTCCAGGTGTGTGAACTTGGACCTGGACTGTGCTGGTATAAAATTGTATAAATACGTATAAAAAATCATATAAAGGCACTGTGCAGCCAGCCTCCGGTGGTGTTTCTCCATCCTTGGTGTTTCTCCATCCTTCAGACTTCAGCCTTACTCCTCTATGTGTACCAAATGTCTGACAAAGTGCCTTACACACAATAAGTGCACAGTATTTTTCAACAGCCATCCCTGCTGATCTAGTAGTTGGGATCTGGTACATTCACTGTACCTGTTAGTGGAATGAGGTGACCCACCTTCCCTCCAGTCAGACCAACTTTCTAGTTTTATTACCTAATATCCTATGTTCCATCCACCCCTGAGGACTTAGTCTTCTCTGAACACTCCAGAGAAGTGTTCCTAGCCTTTGCAAGTACTGTTCTGAGTGACTAGAAGAGCCTTCCCTCTTGTAAAAAGGAAGCTCAAATATTGCTTGTTCTTGGAGGTCTTTGCTATCTCTCCATGTATTCATTTGATCAATTATTCATTCATCTCTTGACTCATTCAACAAATATTGAACACCTCTACTGCCAGGAACAATGCAAGGCACTGAAAACATAATGTAAGCCAAAAATAAAAAGGTCGCCACCTTCATGGAGGTCTAGCAGGAGAGCTCAGGTTTTATTTATTTATTTTTTTTCACAGCTTTTATTTTTTATTTTTATTTAATTTATTTATTTTTTTCATTTATTTTTATTAGTTGGAGGCTAATTACTTTACATCATTGCAGAGAGCTCAGGTTTTATAAATATGAAATATTATGTTCACATTGGTGAATATACAATTACCAACTGAGATACAAGCTCTGAGGAAACAGTTCTGTGAGTGCACACAACTAAGGAAACTTTTTTTTTTAAAGATTAGGGAGTGTTGTGAGTAGAGGGGTTCAGGGAAGGCCGTTATAAGAAAGTAATAGTGAACATCAATTTGGAGGTGTGAATAGGCATGCTGGGAAGTATTCCAGACAGAGAGACTAGAAGGAACATGACAAATTTCAAGGATTGGGAGTGGCAATAGAGTTGGAAAACAGAGAAGAACGGGAAAGTGATATAAGATGGGGAGTTGGAGTGGGGAGAAGTCAAGGCACAGCGGCAATATAATCAGATTTGCATTTTGGAAAGATTATTCTAGCTGCTATAGGGTGAATGGATTATTGTGGAGAGCAAGAGAGAACAGATGGTGGGAGGCTTTTGCAATCCTCTAGGGGAGATTAGGTTGAAGGTAATGAGGAGGAGGCAAGAAAATGAATTCCAAAGATAATGAAAAGGTGTGAAGAGGAAATTGGAAGGGGAGGGAAAGAGGAATTCGAGAATAACTCCTAGGGTTGTGCGACAGGAAACACTGGAGTCAGGGAGAGAATCTATGTGTCCTGTACATTTGAAACCATGGCCCATTCCCCTCACCCTCTCAAGTTGTCCACCTGGCACAGACACGTTAAAGCAAAGGTTCAGAGAGACGTGGCCGCCTCCGAGGTGGGTTGGGGACATGAGAGGAACACACTAGGCTCCTGCAAGGCCGGTTCAGAATGGCTTCTCCCTCCTGTTCACCAAGCTGTTCTGCATCCCGAAGTAGGCTGTCTCCACTATGCTGATGAACAGGCGCATGTCCAGCATGCCTGGGATCATTTTGATAGCTGTGTTCACTTTACTCCATTTGTGGACCCGGTCAAACTTCCAGTCCAGGATAAAGTTCCCACTATCCCTCACCACAGGACCTGCCTTGTTGACAGCCAGCAGAAGTTAAATCGTGCCCCCAAACTTCTGCGTCCCGGTTCAGCTCACTGCGACATTGGATGACCTCGATGGGGAATCCCCTTGTGCCACTGATCCCCGAGGTTCTTTGAATCTTTGCTGAAATCGGCGATCACAATGAAATGGATGGCTTTGCCGGCCACAATCTTCTGGGTCAGGCGGCCTCCACCGCCCTTGTGAGGTTGGGGTCAGCATCTACTTCATCAGAACCATCAATGGCGTGGCCAATCTCTGGTTCACTGAGAGATAAGTCATACTGCAGGATAAACTTATGGGTCTGGAAGGAAGTGGGAAAACAAAGTTGGTTCAGATCCCCTCATTTCACTCTTTTAGCTATTTGTTGCACTGTGTGGACAATTGTAGAGTCACTACCAGTTCCCAACACGTGGTTATTCCTCACCTCCTTCTCCACTGCCGTGCAGCCTGCTAGCTTCTTGACCTCCTCTGCCTTTGACATCGTGGAAGAGCCCAGGCAGAGGTTGTTAACCTGCTTGCACCCAGTACTTGTGCCGCCAGGGCCGAGCTGCGCACCTCCTCACGACTGCCCCAATGATCCTCATTTAAGTCTTCTTTCTTATCTGTGAAATGAAGACCATACCTCACCATTCATAAAGCTTTAGTGAAAAAAAGAATTTTCTGATGTTGCCAAAAACCTTGGCTTTCTCTGTCCACTGAAGCTGGAAAGAAAAAATATGGAGAGAATTTGGAGGAAATAGAAAGGTGGCTTTAAACCTCAGCCAGCCTGGAGGGGAGAACATGCCTCAAGAACTGTGGCCCCCTTCCCCCACTGAAGAATCTGGGGAATCATATAGATGAGGGCTCACAGTCAGGGGTCAGTGATGTGGAACAAATGTGTAAGGATCTTGTATTTTTTTTCCTCTTGCATTGTTTCAAAAACACTAACAGACTAGAGTCAGGCTGTTGTTGTTTAGTCACTAAGTCCTATGCGACTCTTAGCGACCCAAAGGACTGTACCCACCAGACTCCTCTGCCATGGAATTATCCAGGCAGGAATATTGGAGTGGGTTGCCATTTCGTTCTCCACGGTGTAAGGTAGCCCAGCAGTTGGGTCCACTGTCTTTCATGAATTGTACAGTGGCCTCCTTTCTGTAGTATAAGAAAAAAAAAAAGAGAACTACAAGGGGAGCTCTGCAAAGACTGCTGTAAAGGTGAGCACCAAACACAGGATGGGATTAGCATTGAGTTAGAATGTAACGAACAGGAGCTACAGGAGCACAATGTAGCTCACACAGAGTTTAAGGGAGATACATATAGAATGTAGTTTACATATCAAAGTTAGCCTTGATTACCGACTACAGATCCGGAAGTTAAAGTTAAAAAAAAAAGAACTCAGAAAAGAGCAAGAGAAAAAGGAAAACTTTTTTTCTTTTTTTCACTGTAATTTTTCATTTTTGTTACTGTTAGTTCAATTTTCTCCAGACCTCTCCGCCCGTTTGGAGGCAGTTCCTCGACCCAGGCAGACTTTTCCCACAAAGTGTCTGGACAGGCGTCCCCAAAGCTTGACGGCCTAACTCTGATCAGAGCTGAGTCAGGGGCTGGGGCCAGTCTCCAACACAGTCAGTTTGCCTCACTCAGGACGCAAGCCCTTCCCACAATGCCGAGAGACTGGACCTTCCTGCACCAGTCCCGAGACCTCGCGAGAGTTCGCCAGCGCCCGTTGTTGCCCAGGCTCAGAGCCGATGCCTTCCTGGACCTCAGAACGGTCTCCTCTTTCCTCTTCCACTCCGCGCTCCGCTCTCGGATTGGCTGGTTGAGTCGGGTCATTTTTTTTCCTGGCCAGAAAGCGGCTCTTCAACTAGTCTTTCTTTTGGCCCCGCCTCCGAAGCCTGTAGATTGGATAGCTGAATCCTGCGTCACGCGCCTCCGCGGGAGCGCAGACGAGCCAATCAGGAGCTTGGCGTATTTTACAAACTGGGGAAGTACCTGGAGCAGAGGCCGAGAGTGTCGGGGGATAAAACGAAGAAAGTGGGGGAGACCCTGAGGGGTTCAGGGGGAGGTGCGGCACGGAGATCTTGGAGGGAATGAGGGCTGCCGGCGCTCGTAGGGAAGAGAGGCAGTTCGGGGTCCTGGGACGAAATAGAAGGTTCAGAGTGTCAGATGACCGAAAAGCGCCCTTTCAGGCGCCGGGTCTTCTGGACGCATGGATTTGGGCGGAGGTAGGAGTATCTGGAATGTCAGGACCGAAGCCTCGAACTGGCTGACCTTTGATTCCTGATGCTTTTTTCTCCTTTTCGTTGTAGTCGTCATGACCACCTTCCAAGCCACGAAGGATCCTCTCCTCCGGGGTGTATCTCCCACTCCTAGCAAGATTCCCGTTCGCTCTCAGAGACGCCCACCTCTCCCCACTGTCAAACCCAGCGCCGTGGACCAGGAGAACCAAGATCCAAGGGTAAGAGGAGCCTGGGGGAGTGAAGACAGTAGCTGCAAGGAAGCAGCAATGCACCCCAACGCTGAGCTCAGCTTTTTTTCTCCCTTACCCTAGAGATTGGGGCAGAAGCTCAGTATTCAGCGCCCCCTCGCAGACTCAGCAGGCCCCAGGCTGAAAGCCACATGTCAGACAGAGCAATCTGAGAAATTGGTGGGGAGCCCTCAGCTCCGGAACCCCTTGGAGGAGCTCAGGCCTAGCCATAGGGGTCAAAATGTGGGCCCTAGGCCACCTCCCCAGACAGGTATCTGTTGGAGGCTGTAGAACTGGGTGGGAGAATGGGTTGGTGCATTGAGGTTTGGAGGCTTGGTAGTCCTGCCTCTTCTTTGCTCTTAGAGGCCCTTTCTTTTCTTCAACAATGTGTCATCTCTTCTAAAGCCTTTTCCCGCTCCCCTAGTCACTATCAATTGTTCTTTGTTCTAATTATTTGCTGAACTTTATTTATTTGTTTATTCATTCATTTATCCATTCATTCATTCATTTATTAGATGCAGCTTATGGGACCTTGGTTTCTGGACTAAGGATTGAACCTGGGCCAAGGCAGTGAAAGCGCTGAGTCCTAACCAATGTACCGCCTGGGAATTCCCTGCACTTCTTTTATAATATGTCCATACTTTGACTTGAATCTGTTACCTCTCTATGGTTTGATGATAGCTTCCTGGGGATGAGGGCTTTGTCATATTCATCTCTGGGTGGCAGTGTCTAGAATAGTGTCTTATGCAGATTAAAGTCCTATGAATGTTTGTTGAGCTGAGTTCAGTTATATGAGTCTCTTTGGCTCACTCTTGCACCTCAAGGTGACAATGCTAGGCTCTCCAGCCCCTCAGCCTCCCCTCCTTCCTGTCCCTTCTCTCCTTTCCTTCTCTTCTTCCCTTGCAGAGGCTTCAGGAACCATAGAGTTTGTGGCTGACCCTGCAGCCCTGGCCACCATCCTGTCAGGTGAGGGGGTGAAGAGCTGTCACCTGGGGCGCCAGCCCAGTCTGGCTCAGAGAGTACTTGTTCGAGGGAGCCAGGGAGGCACCATCCGGAGGGGTCAGGTAATGAGCCGGGATAGGAGGAGATCAGGCTGGGGTAGGCTGAGGAGGGAATCCTGAGCCTGTACTGAGAGTCTCTTTTGGGGTCCTAGAATGCCCGGGCCTCTGCATATTTGGCCCCCAGAACCCCTACCCATCGACTGGACCCTGTCAGGGCTTCCTGCTTCTCAAGGCTGGAGGGACCAGGGCCTAGAGGTCGAACCTTGTGTCCCCAGAGGCTGGAGGCTCTGGTGAGTGTTCTTGAGGGGCTGATACTAGGTGCTCCTGGGAACTCCTTCTAAGGACACAGCTGGGCCTTGGGATGGAAGGTACCTCCTGGTGAGCAGAGGTGTTGTATGGAGGCTGATGGGGTTGGTTGTGAAACCTGAAGGTTTGGAGCCTGCTTCTGACTCTCCTTTTTCTCTTGCTCCGGTGTGGCTCAGATTCCACCTTCAGGACCTTCCTCTCACCCCTCTGCTCCTCCCTGTTTCCAGGAACTAAGAAGAGAGACCAGTGGCAGCAGCAAGTAAGGAGGGTGTCATTTGGAAAAGAATGATTCAGTGTCTGATACAGGGGTCCCTCAGGGCTGAGCCCTCTGGTAACTTTAGGACTTCCCACCAGCCTGGGGGCGGGGGGAAAATCTGTGAATGCCCAGGGTGAACCCTTGCAATGAAGTTCAGGTCTTCGTAGTCTGGCCTCAATATGGCATCAGTTTCTTCAGGTTGTGAGGGGCGGAACGGGAAAGAAATGAGAGGTGCCATCCCTTGTGTAGTGGCTAGAGCATAGACTGTGGGAACAAATGGGGTTTGGGTTTGATTCCTGACTCTCAGGACTTATTGGTTGTTCAAGCTTGCCTTACCTGCCAAGCTTCAGTTTCTTTAATCTGTCAAATGAGGACAATGTTTGTATCATCATTTGAAGTTGTTGTGAGAATTAGATGATGTTTGTAAAGCACTTAGCACAGTGCCCAGCTCATATCTGGTACTCAGTGACTGCTTGCCACTGTCCTTGTTGTCCTCAGGACTTCAGTGAGCCAGGCCTCAGGATCCCTTCTGGAGCAGCCTGTGCAGCCTGGTGAGTGTGTCTGGCCCTGGGGAGAGAACGTCAGCTGGGAGCCTGCTTGTAGGGAGCAAACCGAGAGAAAGCTCGGGGGCTGTCTCGGGAACACCAGATCAGGAGGAGACAGAGAGGAAGAGACCTTCTCCATAGGCCAGAGGTTTGCCCGGTTGCACTTGTGTCAGAGGAGGTGGTCCCCATTTCTATCCTCTCTCTGCCACTTCCTGCAAGATATACCTTCCACTCACTGTCCTATCGTCAGCCCCTCAGAGCCATCACCACACCCCTAGCCCACTCAGGGTATTCAGATTAATGGGTGACTACTGAGATAGTGCTGGGTTCAAAGGGGTACTGGATGGGTCCCCAGCCTTTATGGTACAATGGTGGCTGTCAAACTGGCATACCCTTTCCGGAGGTTGCAAAGCCATGTGCCAGACTTTGATGTGTGTTTCAGACACTACAGCAAATTTCCTGTCTCCTCCTAGCTTCCTCTCTCCCTGAAGGGGAACCTGAAGTTGTCACTCAGTCAGATGAAGGAGGAGGCGGCCCCCTCGGCCTGGCCCAGCGGGTACCATTAAAAGAAACCCGAGATAAAACCCACACCAGGGTGAGATGGGACCCTCCTGGGATGGGGGAAGGGGCAGAGGATGTGCATGAGGGATTCCCCAGCAGCAGTGAGGATTGTGCGTAGAGCCAAGCAGTCCCCGCTTGGATCTCAGCATGTTCATTGGGTCCTGGTTTGTCCTAGATGGACCCAAGGCCTCTCCAGAGGTCACAGTCTGATACATATTTATGTCACCATCAGATCAGTGCTGAGAGTGAGACAGATCTGACAGCTCATTCATTTCCTCCACACACAAGGTTTTATTGACCAGCTACTGTGTGCCAAGCACTGTTCTAGGTTCTGGATATACAATAAGGAAATAAGTTCACATTCTAGAGGGGAGACAGAAAATAAACACTCATGTAAAATATATAATATGTCAGATGGTTATAAGTTATCTGTTAAAAAAAAAGGTACTAAATTGTTAGTTGCTCAGTCGTGTCCAACTGTTTGCAATTCCATGGAGTACAACCTGCCAGGCTCCTCTGTCCATTGAATTTTCCAGGCAAGGATACTGGAGTAGGTAGCCATGCCCTTCTCCAGGGCATCTTCCCAAACCAGGGATCGAACCTGGGTCTCCTGCATTGCAGGCAGATTTTTTACTGTCTCAGCCACCAGGGAAGCCCCCAAGGTACTATAAGGGAAGGAGACTGGAGGGAGTGGGTGGTATTGCAGTTTCAGGGGTCAAGGGAGTATCACTGAGGTGTGGCTACGTGAAGAGTAGAAAGATTTGAGGGAGTGAGCCCCACAGATATCTGGGGAAGGACGTTCCAGGACATGAGAACTTCAGATGTACACAGGGTGTCTACCTGTTATGCTTAAGGATCAGCAGAAAAGCAAGACTAAAGCAAAATAAGAAGGAGAGGAAGTGAGGGGTTAGAGCAATGACAGGATCGGGTTGGGTAAGGATTTATAAACCAGTATAAGACCTTGGCTATGACTTGGAATGAGTGGAAGGCCATGGGGAGGGGGATGACCAAGGGAGGGACATGATTTGATTAGCTCTTAAAGAATCACACTGGTTGCTGAAGTGAGAACAAGACAGAGCAGTGCCAAGTGGGAGGGATCACTCTTCCACCTGGTTCTTCTCCACAGGACTGCTGTGACTCCTGCCTGATGCCCTCCCCTGGCCAAGCAGTGCTACCTGCCATCACCCAGCCATCACCCTTTGGACGGGCTCAGCGTGTACCATCCCCTGGCCCTTCAGCTCCAGTTTGTATCTGCAGCTACTGGGGGCTGGGCAAGGGCAGAACAGTCTGGCTGGGATCCCTGCTGGTCTCAATCTGTCCTGCTTAGCCACCCCCATCTCTCCCCAGATCTCATATTCAGTGTTGCGGCGTCTTGCCACCCGCCCCAAAACCCAGTTCACACCACTCCCATCAGCCTCCAGAGTTCAGCAGGTAAGAGGGCGGGGGTGGTCACAGGCCTAGGCCAGGATTGAGGGAGGATGAGGATGATGGATGGGTACAGGGAGAGTCATGGCATCTCACTTCTGACCCAGGCCCGAGGGTTGAGTGGCCTCTCCCCTCAACCTTGCCCTGAAGAGCCTGCCCTGCCCTGGGTAAGTATCTGAACTTCCCCATCCTGAGATACCTCATTCTGTCCTGTTGACCTCAGGCCCAGCATTTTTGAGGCAGGTGGGCTCTTAAGAAAAAGCTGTCTAACCCTCCAACTCTCCCTGCTTCTCTGTTGCCCCTTCTAATCCAAGTCTGGGGACCCTCAGTTAAGGACCTGATCCCTTCCTCATGAGGGTGGGACTCAAACTAGTCTTCTTCTTACCCCAACCTGGCTTCTTCGTGTGGCAGGAGCAGATTGCAGTACGGTTATTTGACCAGGAGAGTGGTATAAGGTTGCAGGAGGGGCCTGGGAAGCCACCTGTGTCGACTCCTTATGGACCCCACCCCAGTAGAACCCCCAACTTCCAGGAGCTGAAGATGCAGGTGGGCTGGTGTGGGTAACAGCTTCAATGGCTGATGAGCATTGACAGGGCTGGGACTGAGAAATAGGCGTTGGGGCGGGGCATGGGAACAGGACAGTGTGGGTACAAGGCGTGCTGTTGACATCATGCTCTCTCCTACCCACAGCGCATCAGTATCCTGCAGCAGCTTTTGCGGAAGGAAGTGGAGGGGTTGGCAGAGGGCAAGTGTGCCCCCCTTAATGGAAGCTCCTCTCTGGATATGGTGGAACTTCAGCCCCTGCTGGCTGAGATTTCTAGAACTCTGAATGCCCCTGAAAAAGTACCTGAGGCTTTTCACCTTCCTGGACTGTTACAGCACTCTGAGCTGCCAAAACCCTACTTTCCAGAGGAGTGTGGGGAGCCAGAGCCCTGCCCTGGAGCAGAGCCTGAGGTTGCCCCGCCCTGCCCTCCAGCTGAGCCAGGCCCCCCAGAGTCCTGTCATGGGGGGAGGCCTGAGAAACCAGAGCCCTCCACCCAGGAGCAGCCTGAGGCGTCAGAGCCCAGCCCTCCAGTAGAACCTGGACCCCTTCAGGCCTGCCCCCAGGGGCAGGTAGGACTCCCAGAGCCCTCCACTACCGTAGATCCAGGGGTATCAGAAGCCTGCTCCCTGGAACTCAGAAATCCAGAGTCCAGCTCACGGCCCCGCACCAGTCAGTGGGCTCCAGCGACCACCAGCCTGACCTTCTCCTCCCAGCGCCCACTTTGTGCCAGCCCCCGTATCCGCTCACTCCAGTCTCTCAAGCTCTCACCAGGCCCAACAGGTAAGGAGTTGCTTGGGTGGGGTTGTGAGCAAAGGAGGTTCTCATCTCTTGCTGGAAGCGGGGCCTGCCCTGCACCAGATGATCCCACGCTTCTTTCCCCTACCTACTTTGCCCCAGCCTGGCTCTCCCACTGGGGTGGGCGGGTGGGTGGTATGGCACTTTCAGCCCTGTACTCCTTATTGGCTTGGCCCTGGTGGGGGGTGAGAAAGGGAAGTATGTGGTGGGAGTCTTGGACTTCAGAGTCTACCCTGAACTCTCCATGGCCCTTGGCCCTCAGGTCCCAGCCATCCGGCCCCTCGAACCATGGCCCTGAGGCAGCGCCTCAAAGCGTGTCTGACCGCCATCCATGGCTTCCACGAGGCCTGCCTGGACGATGAGTGTGCCTTCTACACCAGCCGAGCCCCTCCCTCAGGCCTCACCAGGGTCTGCACCAACCCCGTGGCCATGATGCTGGAATGGCAGGATGCCCTGGTGAGCCTTCCGTCCACAGCCAGCTGTACCTGCACAGAGGCCTGTGGGAAGTGGGGGCAGGGGGCAGACCTCGGCTTCTTTACAGTGGGAAGAGCTGGCTACAGTTCAAGAATGGCTGGGCTGTGACGAAGTCTTCTTTCTCCCTAGTGTTTTATTCCAGTTGGTTCTGCTGCCCCACAGGATTCTCCGTCATGAGGCATCCGCATCCACTCACTCCTGTCCTGTCTTGCTCCTTCCTTTTAACCTTATTTATTTTCCACACCGTGGATTGGAACTGACACCCTTTTGTCCTTCAATAAAGTTTCTAAAGTGTCCAAGTGTCTTTTCCTGTGGTCCTGCCTAGGCCAGCTACTGCTGTGTTGCTTTTGTCCACATGGTGGCAGTGTTCTCCAACTTAGAGGTCAGCCTTGGGTTCTCCCCCTCCCCCAGCCTCCCTCACCTAGGAACTGACCAGGTCACCCCACCCCTGCCCACCCCACCCTCCCAGCAGGCTCTAAGAGTGAATCTGTTGGGGGGTGGGAGGTGAATGTAGGACTTTGGGGACCTGCTTTTCTCCTTCCTCCTTGAAATCTTGGCCACTCCCAGGAGCCATCAGCAACTCACTCATCGCATAGAGCTCCCTAGAACTCTTCCCCCGCGGCATCGGCAAAAAGCAGAAGCACCAGACCCATATCTCTGAGATCATCCCTTGTTAGTGTCACTCTGGTTGGTGTCTCCCTGTAGTAGAAGGCCTCAAAGCTCTCCTGAAGCTGACACCCTTGCTGTATCCGAATAGAAACCCTGGGCCACTCCCCTCCTCTTCTCCCCCAGAGGCAGACCTTGCCAGGGACAACTAAACCTTTGCCTCTGACAGAGTGTAATAGGGTAGGGGTCCTTGAGAGGAGTGAAGAAGGGTTCAGTCACTTTCCCCTATTCTGCACCAAGTTAAGAGGCACCCACATTCTCCAACTTTACTTTATTGGAAGAGGCAGCAGCAGCTGTAGCCCCAGGGCCTAACCCAGATGGGGGTGATATGGAGACTGTACAGGATGAGTTTTAAGTGCTAGGAAAGAGCCAACTGGTTCCCCCAGTTCACAGGAAGACTGCCAAAGCTAGATCCTGAAGCCTGAAAATGTTGATGAGGGAGGAGGAGATGGCAGAGAAGTCATGACAGGACCAGCGCCTACCTGGTCTCCTCTCCTCCCACCCAGATGTGTTCTCCCTTCCCCAAAGCCAGAGTTTCCCTTCTGTTTTCCGCTTTCCGTGCCTCTATGCTACAGCTAGTGAAACCTCCCTAGCTTCCGGCAGAAGAGGGGGCCGTGACCCGTGACCCGCGCCGCTCTGCTGCCCCAGCTTTCACAGGCATGCGCACGGATGCTGGTAGTCTCTTCCCGAGGCGCTCTGCTCCTCCACCGGCTTGCTCAGCTCCCCAGCCACATAGTTACACCCTGGAGCACTAAGAGTCCGCCCATTAAGGCCACCTCCGGGAGCAGGAGGATCCGTCCACCGCCGGCTCTCAAAGGATGGGGTGGTGCCTTGGGTGGGGCAAGCTGAAGGTGGTAGGGAGGGGAGCAGAGGCGAAGGGCGAGCGAGGGCGCCCGGGGACGGGGCCGGCTCAGTCCGGGTAGATGATGAAGCCAGAGAAGGTGCTGTACTTGTTGGTGTTACCGCCGTGCACCTTCCCGCCGTCCAGCTTGATGAAGACTTCGTCGCCCACATCCAGGTGCAGGATCACGCTGTTGCTGGCGTAGTCGTAGTTCTGGTCGGCATCCTGGGCGATGGCACTGGCTCGGACCTAGTAGGGAGAACAGGACAACCCACTCACGCTTTCTACGGAGCTGAGGTGAGGAGAGGTCGGTCAGGGAGGTGGAACTGGACCTGTGAAAGCGACACGACGGTAACAGACTGCAGGGGTCGGGAAAGACAAGGTGCTCCGCAGGCACCGCCATTCATTCACTCACTGCCGGGAAGTGGGCAAGTTTCACGCCTTCTCTGGTCCTCCATTTGAGCTATAAGGTGGGAGGTAATAATAGAACCTACCTCATCAGGTTGTTTGGATTAAATGAGTTACTACACGTAAAGTGTGTTAAAACATTCTTCGCACAAAGGAAACGCTATATAGATTTTCTATTAGTATTATCATTTAAAAAATAAGAGTTCCACTCTAGGATAATTTCTAACATTCTGAACGCGCTTTGACCTCCTAAACTCGTGTTCCCATCCCCCGGTGAAAGGGCACAGGCATGCCTGTACGTGTGCAAGCAAGGGAGTGGGCTGCGGGAAGGCCAGTCTGTATAATCATCCCTCATAGCACACGAGGGTGCCCCGACGTGGGGGTCGCTTTCCGCCCCAACAGGTAGCCCCTCCCCTTTCTGGTCTCGCTGCTGCAGGTCGCCTAGCGCCGCCAGCCCCCTCCCCAGCCCCCCTCTTGCTGTCCCGCCGGGGGCTGGTTATTAACTCATTAATTATTCATCATTATTCTAATCACTATTTACCGTCCCCAGGGCCGCAGCGCCCGCACCACAGAATACAGAGTGGGAGCCGCGGGGCCCTCCGCCCTCGGGAACTGACACATTCTAGATACACACACCCCCACGGCCCCTCACAGACAGCCCGCATAGACCAAGCACACCTACTCAGTGCCACAGGCAGGTAGACACCGCCCCACTCACACCTCCGAACCCCGCACCCCCACAGACACACTTCATCATGCACACACACTCTACAGTCTGACACACATACGCTCTCACTCCCTTTCCCTGGGTTCCTGGGGTGGCTCTGCTGGGAGAAGACCCCAGTGTAGTGCCTGTGGGTCTCGGAGGCGGAAGGTGCTGCAGCAGTAGCAAGAGCTGGGGTTTGGACAGCTGGGAGGAGCTGGCCAGATGCGCCATGGTCAAATGACCCCATCGGACAGCAGGGCGAGGAGGTCACAGCTCAGCCCTAACCTTACACCCTGCGGCTTCTAGCCTCCCAGGCACAGTTCCCCACCCCCACCCCAAGGCCTCTCTCCCTCTCTGTGTGTCTCAGACTGGACACTGAGCTGAGTCTTTGGGGCTTTTCTCCCAAGCTAAGGCAGCAGTGACTCCGACTCTACCACAGGACCCGACTGGGGTCCGAGGCTTCTGTCCTTTGCCTCCTTCCTTCTCCCAAATTCGTTCCTGCAGACCCCCTGGCTGGCCCTTGAGCTGCCACATCTTCTACCTCTGCCTACTGACTCTGTATTAGCTGAGGGTAAAGGCCACTTTAAAACCAGGGACTCCAGGCCTTGGAACTAGCAATAGAGTTGCCTGGAAAACAAGCAAGTGTTTTCTTTCTTTTTTACTTTATCCTCAAAAATTCAAGCTTAACGCCCCCACATGGGAGCAGCTACCAATTGCCCACCGCTTGTAACTCAGATTCCATGCTAATTTGAAAGAGCCGGACTCTGGTAACTAGCTCATGGAGTGACTGTGTAACCTAAAGGCCAGGAGAGCTGCACAAGACAGGACGAGAAAAGAGGCTAGTTGGCAGGGTAAGACACCAGAGAGGTTTGGTGTATAGTTGCCTACAGACGGACTGTGAGGTAGCAGCTGCTTATACAATAAGATTTGCGTTCTAATTCTGACACCCTTCCTAACGTCCCTGTGAGACCCTGGGCAGGTCATTTCCTTTCTCTGGCCCCCAATTCCTTTTCAGCTAAGTGAAGCGATTTCTAAGTTCTTGGCAAGCTGGCCTTCTTGGATTTAGTGACGCTGTTTGGGGAAGAGATTCGGGTTGTGTAATGAAAGCAGAGGGATTTAGAAAGCTTCCCTTTCTGGGGCTGGATGGGAGGGGGGCATCTCACCTGTCCATTCTTCATCAAGTCGGCCCACATGCTGGTGCCGTCACCGCCGCGCATAAGCACATGGTAAGCGAAGAAGTAGACACCCGGCATGGGGCAGGTGAACTTGCCACTGGCCGCCTCATAGGCGTTGCCCACGTTGGTCACCACGTCGTCGAAGCGCAGCACCTCGTAACCCTCGTGTGGCCGCCGGAGGCCAGCATAGAAGGCAATTCGAGGCACGTAGCCGGCAGGGGGCGCCACTCCTCCGGGGCCTGGGCCGGGAGGGCCCGGAGGACCTGGCCTGCCCGGCTCTCCTGGAGGCCCTCTAGGACCTGGTGGTCCCGGGGGCCCTCGCAGACCTGCCTTTCCGCGCCGCCCCGCCTCCCCCTTGGCGCCCGGAGGGAAGGGGGGCACGGAGGCGGGCGCGCCGTCGGGTCCTGGGCCTCGCGGCCCATGCGGGTCGCACACCATGCGGCAGCGACCCAGCATCTCGTAGTGCGCCGGCCCCTGGGAGCTGTGCACTAGCAGCGGAATGGCCACCAGCAGCAGCAGCACCATGGCCACCCCGACGGCCGCGCCCGCCACCCGCTTGCGGCGGCTCAGCCGCGACGCGGCCAGGGCCAGCAGGTCCTCCTCACTCTTGGGCGCAATGGTGCCGGAGGCCTGGGGCTTCCCGCGGGCCCCAGAGGCGGTGGCTGGGCTCGGGCTTGGGTCGGGACCCCCCCGACGGCTGCGCCCGGCCCCCCCCACCCCTTCGGGCTCCCGCCTCAGCGGTGCCGTTCCCCAAACCTTCCGTCAAGGCGGAGGTTCCCCCGTGGACCAGAGGCAGCTCCAGACGGTTCAGAGTCCGTGGTCCTCTATTACCCTCTCGTTCAATCTTACGTTCCCGGGCGCCTGAAATCGGCGGCTTCTCGGACGGCTGGTTTCTTACGGATCTAGGATGCCTGATCTCCGGACAGCTGCTTTCTCGAGGATGGCGGCGCCTAGGTCCCCGGCTACCCAGACGGATCCTTCTAGCCGGAGCTGGGACTGCTCTCCGCGCTCTGGACGTCCCGGGCTCTGCGCTGCGGGTGATGCCCACCGGACGCGACCTCCTCTGCAGGTTTGCGCTCTGGCTCTCGGCGAGCCCTGACCCACCTTTCTACCCTAGCCGCGGCCCCAGCCCCCTGCTGGAGCCCTGGCCCCACGTCTTCCTCCTGCTAGCGCTCTCCCTCTCTGCGTCCCTAACCTTCCTCCCCTCCCTCCCTGGGCGGCAGTGCGGGTGGTGTGAGCCGGCGCGCGGCGGGAGCCGCTATAAGCGGCCGGGGGGTGGGGGGGACTTGGGGGGGGGCGAGCGACCCCTGGCGCCCAGAGAGGGAAGCGTGGAGGCGGGGCCGGCCTGGGCCCCCGTCCCGCGTCCCCCCAGTCTCTCGGT